GCTTCACTCACCTCATCACTGGCAATACTACACCATCATGCGCCGGCGTTCTCACTCACGCCCATCACTCGCTATACTAACCATCTACGGCGGGACCCGCTCACTCACCCGATCACTGTCTATACTACATATCAGCGCCGGCTCGCTCACCACCCATCATGCTATACTACCACTCAGCGCGGCCGCCGCTCACTCACGCCCATCACTGCTATACTACATCAGCCGCGGGCGGCGCTCACTCACCACTGAGCTCGCATATTCGAAGCAGATGCGGAAGCAAGGAGTGATTGATTTCGCACGATGGATTCGTTAGTTTAGACTGTATCCTAAGCTGGACAGCATCAACGTTCCGCAGACCTGTAGAAACATCACACGACACCAGGTGAGACGTCAGTTGTTAGTAACCCATCACAATGATAGAAACACCGCTCCACAAATCAGTAAATCGCAGAATAATCTACATTATTTTCGGGCGCGCTGAATCCATATTCTATCGACAGGATCCAATCCGATGGATGCACAATCGGGATGCATTGAAATGATTACCGACTAAACACAACTGTAATCTTTAATATACCAGTTGTTAATGATCTTAAGATATAATAAATAATAATTCGCTCCAAAGTAAATTCACGTAAAAGTGTTCGCATCGTGGAGGGTGAATGGTAGCGACTGTGTAGCAGAGTTCACTCACATGCCTAGGATTTATTTAAGATCGACCTCGTCAGAGCTGGGGTCTGCCTGGCCCGACGATAATCGGCGCACATGATGTCACGCGTCGCTCACCGTTCTCTATCGCTGCCGCGGCGCTCTCCGAACCTGGCCTCTGTCATCACAACACACAGTTGTGAGCAAGGGCTCGAAGTTTAACGCGCCCGACGCAATTGCGCGTTGCCCTAGCAATCGCCGTACTGCCTGAAAAATCCAACCCGACGACGCATGTCGTGCCTTGCCCAATTTCGTGTTAATGCCGTTCGTGCCTCTGCCTCTGGCTAGACTGGTTTCGAGCGCACTGTTTCGCATCGGAGAGCGGTGAGTGGTGTGAGCGGCCGCGCTGATGGTAGTATAGCAGTGATGGGGTGAGTGAGCGGCCGCGCTGATGGTAGTATAGCAGTGATGGGGTGAGTGAGCGGCCGCGCTGATGGTAGTATAGCAGTGATGGGTGAGTGGGTAAATGTGAGAGACTACGGGGAACAACGCTAGTAATGTGTGCGGTAATCGCTGCGGTGATAGGATTACGATCATTGCTAGGATCAGCCACCACCAACAGTTAACATTCGTTAAAGCATATCAATTAAAAAAAATTTAATTGAAGAATGTAAAATTGAAATCAAAATCATTAAAAAATTAAAAAATAAGTAATACATAATACATAATAATTAAGTTATCGTCGTCGTTGTCGTCGTCGTCGTCGTCGTTGGCATCATGATTATCATTAAGTAATTACATTTTTATATTAACATGAATCAGAGCTCCTGCGTAAGTCGGCTGAGCAGACGCTAGTGGACATGGTTCAGCTTCTATTCTCACGACTGCCTCAGTTCAAGGAGATGGACAACAAGTTCCAACATATCCGTAAGGTGAGTGGCGCCACACTGTGGCCGAATCTTCTGAGCGCGCGAATGCTGATCCTTCCGTAATGTTAATAGTGTTTCATGCTACAGCATCATGACATTGCCATAGGATCATAGTGTCACAAATTGTGATAGGGTGATAGTGTAAATAAATAAGTGATAAACCGCAGTGTCACAGTGTCACAGTGATGGTGAGAATGTGTCACAGGTCATGGTGAAATACGATTTATTGTTTTTTTTGCTCTTTTCTTTTACGGGAGAATGTTGTCACAGTGTCACAGTGATGGTGAGAATGTGTCACAGTGTCACAGTGATGGTGAGAATGTGTCACAGTGTCATGGTGATGGTGAGAATGTGTCACAGTGTCACAGTGATGGTGAGAATGTGTCACAGTGTCATGGGATGTGAGAATGTGTCACAGTGTCATGGTGATGGTGAGAATGTGTCACAGTGTCATGGTGATGGTGAGAATGTGTCACAGTGTCATGGTGATGGTGAGAATGTGTCACGCAGTGTCACGGTGATGGTGAGAATGTGTCACAGTGTCATGGTGATGGTGAAATGTGTCACAGTGTCATGGTGATGGTGAGATGTGTCACAGTGGTTCTGGATGGTGGAGAATGGTGTCACAGTGGTTCATGTGATGGTGAGGAAATGGTGTCACAGTGTTCGAGTGATAGGTGAGAATGTGTCCACAGTGTCATGACCGCGGTGGAGCGTGTTTACGTTTACTGACCCACCGCTCCCTCCCTCATGTTACAGCTGAAGATGAGAGCAGGACACCTAGACAACACTCGGGGTGGGAAGGCGAGGAAGAAGTCGCACGCCCTAGCACCCCCGTAGATTCTCCACCTGCCCCAGCCCCCTCGCTCACACCCCCGCCTCCAGCTGCACCTCCATCAACACCGTCGGCACGGCGATGCAGGACGACGCGCCGCGCACCCTCGCCACCGGCGCAGCGCAGGCGGGGGTCACGCCCGCGGACTATGTCGACACCCGTCTCTCCGATGCAATGCAGCAGGACGAGGGCGCCGGCATCAGCACGGACGTCGGCGCTGACACGACGCAGGGAGATGGCGCCACTGCATCTGTTGTCACAAAGCAGGGAAACGATGTTGTGACGCATGCGAACGCGGCGCATGTAGATGGCGCCGCTGTATCCACAGACGCGACACAGGTAGATAGTGTCACCGCGTCAGGTGTCGTGGTCGTCACCGACACCTCGGCAGACGTGACGCGCGGTGACGAGGAGGAGGGGACGGGTGGCGAGGACGGTCATCACCAGGGGGCGCCGATGCCAGCAGAAAGCCCGGCAAAGGCGACGACAAGCGAACAGGTTACGTCGGAGGACCAGCAGGGGGCGCTGGACGCCGGGCAAAATGAAGAATCGGTTGCGGCCAGTTTCCCAACACCCCCTATCTCTAACCCGGCATCGCCAGCGCCACCTAGCACCCTGGAACTGCAAGAGAAACACGTTGTTGACGTCGGGAACATCAACGTGACTCTGTCGACTACGCCGATGACCCCTGGTGGCCAATTAGTAGACATGGCTCACCTGACTCTTGACTCGGAACCTTACTCCTTGGATTCGTCCGAGTTGGAAAATGCAAAAACAAGCGAGCAGGCATGCGCTGCGCAGATTGCCAAACTTCCCCAAGATGTGGCGCTGCACTCTGACGGGCTGAGCGAGGACGTGCGATTGGACAAGGCGTCGGACGTCGAACACATCAGCATCTGTTCTGAGAAGTCGGACGAGCAGTCGCTAGAGGGCGCTGAGGGGGAGTACGTGACGTCGCGCGGCGTGCGATTCACGCAGCATCACGCGAAGGATACGACGGGGAAGCTGCTTCCTCACGGACTGCCCTGCGTCCGAGAGCTCGCTCGCTTCCTCGCTTCTCTCATCAACCAACACGACAAGTGAGCATCCTCGCATGTTATCGTCGCTACTAATAGTGACTGTTAGAGAGCAGTGTTATTGTTAGTGTTATCAGTCTCATATAAACGGTCATAATTCACATAAATTTACATGTATTATTGTTAGAGATTTTAAGTCCATATAAATGATTACAGTATCATTGTGAGAGGCAGAAGGCGGTGTTAGTGGTCAGACATGTAATCCTGCCTAACTCGGGCTGTTATTAGTAGGTACAATGATAGTGTAAACTTAATTAACACGATCGCTGCTGCTATATATTCTGACCATGAAGGAAACAGTTGCTGCTGCTTAAACTGCACTGCTATTGCAGTGGTCGGATTACCGTTTACTGCTATTGCAGTGGTCGGATTACCGTTTACTGCTATTGCATGGTCGGATTAAACGTTTACTGAAGGCTAATTTGCAGTGGTGCGGATTACCGTTTACATCGGCTAGTGCAGGTGGTCGGATTACTGGTTTATGCTATTGCAGTGGTCCGGATGACCGTTTACCCTAGTGGCAGTGGTCGGATTAACGGCGTTTACTGCTGATTCGCAGTGGTCGGATTACCGTTTACCGTGCTATTGCAGTGGTCGTATTAGGTCCGTTTACTGTCTTATTGCATGGTCGATTACCGTTTACTGGCTAGTGCAGTGGTCGGGATTAAGCTGTTCTACTGGGCTATTGCAGTGCGTCGATTACCGTGTTACTGCTATTGGGCAGTGGTCGGATTAGCTGTGATATCTGCTAGTGCAGTGGTCGGCATTACTGTTTTACTGCATTGCAGTGGTCCGGAGTACTACTTTAGCTGCCTATTGCAGTGTCGGAGTACTGTGGTACTGCTAGTGCAGTGGTCGGCATTACGCGTTACCTGCTATTGCAGTGGTCTCGATTACTGTTAACTGCTATTCGCAGTGGTCCGGATTACCGTTAGCTATTGCAGTGGTCGGATTACCGTTTAATGGCTATTGCCAGTGTCCGATTACCGTTTACTGCTATTGCAGTGGTCGATTACTGTTTCACTGCTATTGGCAGTGGTCGGATTACCGTTACTGCTATGGCAGTGGTCGATTACCGTTTACTGGGCTATTGCAGTGGTGCGGATTACCGTTTACTCGCTATTGGCAGTGGTCGGATTACCGTTTCTGCTATTGCCCCATCTACCCGTTACTGCTAGTGCAGTGGTCGGAATTACTACTGTTTTACTGCTCATTGGCAGTGTCCGATTACCGTATTACGCTAATTGCAGTGGTCGGATTAAGCTAGCTGTACTGCTAGTGGCAGTGGGTCGGGATACTGTTACTGCTATTGCAGTGCGGTCGGCATTACTGTTTACCTGCTATTGCACGTGGCCGGATTACTGTGATACTGCATAAAGTGGGCCAGTGTACGGATTACCGTTTATGCTGGCTATTGCAGTGCGGTATTAACTGTTAGCTGCATTGCAGTGGTCGGATTACTGGTACTGCTAGGCAGTGGTGGGATTACCGTTTACTGCTACTGCATGTTGTCGGATTATGCCGTTACTGCTATTGCATGGTCGGATTACCGTTTACTATGCTATTGCAGGGTCGGATTACCGTTTACTGCTATTGGCAGTGGTCGGAATTACCGTTTACTGCTATTGCAGTGGTCGGATTACCGTTTACTGCTACTTTTTGCCGGTTCAGCCGTCTGTCAACATCTCATTGTTCCGTAGCACACACTGACGTGATGATGCACATGGGCCTCAGTCTGCTGACCGTTGCCTTGGAAACGGGAGCCGACCACATGGGCCACTTCAACTCGCTGCTCGGCTTGGTGAAGGATGAGATGTGCAAGCACCTGTTCATAGTGAGTGTGACAGATCTGTGTCTCGTGTATGTCTGCCGTGAATATATGGTTGACGTCGCGCTCGGTGTGAGTGATGGTGGCATTGGAGCCCTCGTTGCACATTTACCTGTGATGTGCTATCTGTCACTGGGGTCAATTGTCCAAAACAAGATTAGTCCTAACATCTGTCTTAAAATCAGTCTTGACATCTTGACACTGACTTATTCTGATATAAACCAAACTTCTGTATGTTGCATATGAGAAACTTGTCATTTCACCATGTTTCTGTCAACGGTCTACGAGAAAGAGTTAACGTTTAGACTGATGTTGAGACTAATTTTGCTTCTGACAACGGTCTACGAGAAAGAGTTAACGTTTAGACTGATGTTGAGACTAATTTTGTTTTGCGACGAACGTCTATCGAGAAAGAGTTTAACGTTTAGACTGATCTGTTGAGACTAATTTTGTTTCTGACAATGGTCTACCGGAAAGAAGTTAGTTTAGAACGAATAGTTTGAGACTAATTTGTTCTGACAACGGTCTACGAGAAGAGTTTACTTTTATACTGATGTTGAGACTAATTTTGTTTCTAGATGCAGTTGCTGACGTCATTTCTCGTTGCAGTTGTTTCAGTCGGAGAGACTGACGCTGTTCTCTGCAGCTCTGAGGGTTGCTTCCTGCTGTTCGAATCGCTCAGAACCCATCTAAAGTTCCAGCTGGAGGTACAAACACCGTAATTACAATAACGGATTGTATCACATTCGTACACTTTTTTTGCGAATGATTTATTTATCTCTTGGTCGCTAAACCCATCAGTAGGTAAACGCATAAATGTACTTCTGTTTCACACGTTTAGTTACAGGTGTATCAGATGATATAACTTCCTGTACTCCTGTTTCACAGACGTTCATTGCATCTGTACCTGATGATTTGTGAGCTTCTGGAAGCTAATCTAGCCTAACTTTCCGTTCTCCTGTGTAGATGTACCTGACGAAGCTGATGGACATCATAGTGTCGGAGAATCCGCGCATCCCCTACGAGCAGAAGGAGATTGCGTTGGACCACCTGGTCGCGCTGTGGCGGATCCCGGGCCTCGTCACAGAGCTTTACCCTGAAACTACGACTGCGACCTCTACTGCTCTAACCTGTTCGAAGACATCACCAAACTCCTGTCCAAGGTGCGTTCTCCACGTGTATTGTGTTATAGCTACGATGCAGACCCTTGGGTCTGTGGCGCGGTTCTAGGTGCCGTTGTCTGAACAATTTAAGCGTTAACGTTAGTCGTAACACAAACTTCGCAGACCATTGAAAACATTTTTTTTAAGACTTAAACCGTAACAGTGCACGATGATGTTGAAGTGTGAAGTATGTGCAGCACATTAAACAGTAATAACTATTAATAGTGCAGCGCACGTATAGCTAGCCTACGTACGATGTTTCTGACGCTGCTTCTGACGATGTTCTGACGTTTCCCTTCTCTCTCCCCTTGCAGAACTGCTACCCCGTGTCCGGTCTCTACACGACTCACGTTCTCTCTCCCCTTGCAGAACTGCTTCCCAGTGTCCGGTCTCTACACGACTCACGTTCTCTCGCTGGACGCCCTGCTAGCAGTGATTGACAGCATCGAGTCTCACTGTGTTAACCGCATGCTGCTCAGCAGCAGCAAGGCTCCCCCGGCAACGACGACGACGATGACAGACGACGCGGCAACGACGACGACGACGACAATGACGGACGACGCGGGGGATGACGTCGGGGACGCTGCTGCCGCCGTGTCGTCATCGCACCGTGAAGGTAAGCCCTGGTGATCCACCGTCGCTGATACATCGCCTGACCTACCTCCCCAATCTGTTCTCCACGTATATATACATATACACACACATATATAATAATAATAATAATATTTATTGATTTATATTGCGCACGTTACATGCAGATATGTTCACGTGCGCATTACAAAGGCTGATTATAAAACAGCGGACTGCAACACTGTAAAATATAGATACTTAAATTACGACAATCCTATAACAATTCCTGATTATAAATAGCGATATGCTATAATGATATATATATAATACTATATATGTATATATTATATATATGAATATATACCCTCGAATAAACAGGTCAACACTTGCCTTTCCCTAAAAAAGGTGTAATTAAAGCCCTATTATATATAGTTTTTTTGGCAAACTATGAAAATAAAGTTAGTTTATTTTGTGTATCCCCGGTCAACATGCTGGCCGTGTCATTTAGTTCACCGCAGACAAAACAATAAACAAATATTTCTTGAAGGTTCGTCAGACATGTCAGGAGCTGACTCCGATGGTGGCGCCACCGCGCAGTGTCAGGTCGTCGCCGCCGCAGGCCTGCAGCCGAGCGACAGATGGGAGGATGGACAGAGCGGCGGGCGGAGGAAGGCGTGGCCGCAGAGTGGCAGCGTGAAGCAGAACAGGATGAAGATATCGACTAACATCCCGACAGAGGAAGACCTCATCGCGATGAAGAAGAAGAAGAAGGTGAGCAGCGCACGCGCAGAGGTTGCCGCGGTAACGCAAACTAGGAGATTACACAGTGCGCTAGGTTGCATTCCACAGCCAAACAGCCAAAATGTATCACATAGATCAGCAAAATATTCATATAGTAGTGAAGATAATGTTCATAATAAAATAAAACAGTAATAATTAAAATAATAATAATAACAATAGCAATAATAGTAAATAATTACCACCACTACCATCACAATCACCATTGCCACCACCAAGCGCTACTAACCAAGACCAGAGTCACCATGTTCACTAACACTTATGCTTACTGACACCAACGCTCCCTCGTGTTGACAGTTGCTGCAGCAGGGCACTGAGCTGTTCAACCACAAGCCGAGTAAAGGAATCCAGCACCTGCAGGAGAAGGGTCTCCTCTCCGACCCACACGAGCCGGGGGAGGTCGTCTCCTTCCTCAGGGAGAACCCGCATCTCGACAAGAAGATGATAGGAGAGTACATCAGCAACCGCAAGAACCTGAAGATACTGGAGGCCTTCGTAAAGTACGTGTGCATGCGTGCATACGTGTTCCTGCGTGCGTGCTTGTGTGTGCGTGTGTGTGCGTGTGTGCGTGTGCACACGTGTATGATGCGTGAAAGATACATAGTTTAGTGTATGACATGTGCATACTGTGCACATCCACGAACTATATATCAGAGATATATACATACATACATACATATATATACATATATCTGTACAAGCTGACAATCACTGTGTTGTCTGCTACAAGGTCGTGAATGTTGCAGGTCGTTTAACTTTGACCAGCTGCGTGTGGACGAGGCATTGAGACAGTACCTTGAGACATTCCGATTGCCTGGTGAGGCCCCGGTCATCTCTCTACTACTGGAACATTTCGCTGAACACTGGCACGTAAGTCCTGCCCTAACGCTCCATGCTCGTATGTGTGCATACTGTTACATTCTTGGGATCATTGGCCTAACCCTATCCTTATCTCTAGCCCTAATCCTAACCCTAACCCTGCACCTATCTCTATCCATAACCCTAACCCTAACTAAGAATCAAAGGTTTGATATACTTTTAAAAACAGTGACTGTTATTGCATGTTATGGTGCAGTCTGACATGCTGAACACCTAAAAGCTACCGAAGCGCTATCTGCTAGCACAATTATCACGTAGTTCACGCTCGTGTAGCAGTAATGTGTTTAGCAGTGTTAGTTGACTTTATTCGCTGCTTTTCTCCTGCAGAAGACGAACGGAGAGCCGTTTGCTAACAGTGACGCGGCGTTCACTCTCGCCTATGCTGTCATCATGCTCAACGTCGACCAGCACAACTACAACGTGAAGAAGAACACGATCCCCATGACGCTAGACGTGAGTAATAGTCTCTTTATGTGCGTGCGTGTGTGTGTGTGCGTGCGTTCGTGCGTGCACACTAGACAGCCTGGCATCTCTTTCCCCTCTGTGTGTGCGTGCGTGTGTGCGTGCGTGTGTGCGTGCGTGTGTGCGTGCATGCCTGCTAATATAAAACAAACCGCTTGTCCCTATGATGCTCCTACGCTGAGATAATGAGCGATGAAAATCTGGTATTTTTGCCAAAAACCGACTCGAGATCACTGTTTACTGTGACTGTCTCTCGCTTTGTGATAACTTCGGGAAACCTCGCGTGTTTCCGTCAATGATTGACAAATGGAATGAATGACGTCTGTTATTGATTGCCATAGTGATGACCCCCACCTGTGCACACCTCACACTGGATGTATAGTAATCTCTGTAGTACTGACGTGAGTCGGCGCTACCATGGCGCTACACAGTGGCGACCGGAAGCAATACACTGGCCACAAAGCGAGAGAGGGTCGCAGTAAACAGTGGTCTCGAGTCGGTTTTCGGCGAAAATACCAGATTTTCAAGCACTCATTATCCCAGCATAGGAGCATCGTAGGGACAAGCAGTTTGTTTTATATTAGCAAGGTAGGACAGCTGATCAATAATACCGCAAAGAATCGTCAAAATAAAACGGGCAAAGTTTCTTAATTCGACTAATACTGCAACATGGTTTCAGCATTTCACCATTGTATGCTCTTCTTCTTTATACGCTTTTGATATATATATATATTTTGATATATATATATATATATGTTTATATCTGGCTTTTCTAGCAATACAGGAGAAACGTGTCAAAGGTCAACGGAGGTCAGGATTTCGATCAGGATATGCTAGAAGAGATCTACAATGCCACCAAGTCTGAGGAGATCGTCATGCCTGCTGAACAGATGGGACTCGTGCGTGAAAACTACCTGTGGAAGGTGAGAGATAATTACCTGTAAAATGTAACAGAGAATCAGTAATCTAAGACAGATCACCTGTGCAAGGTGCGAGAGAATCAGTGAGAGATCAAGAGATCAAGCTGAGAGCATTATCAGTGTAAAGGCAAAGACGAGTGACTACTCGCACAGTGTGACTGCTGTACATGCATGCTTCCTCTGATCCGCGAGAGTTAACGTCGTCCCGTCTGCACAGGTGTTGCTGAGGCGCGGCGTCACCGGCGGCTGCTTCATCCACACTCCCAGCGGTCAGTTTGACCACGACCTGTTCGTGCTCGCGTGGGGACCCACCGTCGCTGCTCTCTCCTTCGTCTTCGACAAGAGTACAGACGAGATGCTTATCGCCAAGGCGATACAGGCGTTCAGGTGAGGATGCTGCGCAGTAGAGACGGTGGGTGATGGGAGGGATTCGCTGGATATATGTTGACCTTGTACTGTAAGGTCTGTTTCTGTGGGAAGAGTAAAGCAGGGGAGGGGGGCTTGTGTATGCATGAAGTGTATAGATCGTAAGTCTCACGTCGCGTGTCACGTCGCTTAGCGAAATCAGTGGCAACGTTTGTTTTGGAAGGAACCTGAGTTCATTGAGGGAAATATTAGGGTTGTTTGGCGATTATCTGGGGAGGTTGAGAGTATTATTGAGTTTTGAGTTGTCAGTTGTTTATTTGAGATTAACTTGTCGAGTGAGTATTTGCTGTGTAGTTGACGTCGGTTCATCACGTTATTGCAGGAAATGTGCGACGGTGTCAGCTTACTACAGCGTCAGCGATGTGTTTGACAACCTCGTCATCTCGCTGTGTAAATTCACCACCCTGCTCAGTGCTCACGAGGTAGGTCATACACATATGGTAGGTACAATAACGCAGGGTCAGGGTTAGAGTTAGAGATATGGCTAGGGTTAGTGTGAGAGTTGAAGTTAGGTTAGCGATAGTGGGTCAGGGTCATAAGGTTTAGGTTAGTGTGTGACCATGCTGTTACCTGTCTGCTGCACTCAGGCACCAAGTTAGTGTGTGACCATGTTGTTACCTGTCTGCTGTACTCAGGCACCAAGTTAGTGTGTGACCATGTTGTTACCTGTCTGCTGTACTCAGGCACCGGAGCAAATCCCAGTCTCATTTGGTGGTAACATGAAGGCCCAGCTGTCAGCAAAGACTGTGTTTGCGCTCACGCATCGCCATGGCGACATCCTGCGTGAGGGATGGAAGAACATCGTGGACTGCCTGCTACAGCTCTACAAGGCCAAGCTGCTGCCGCAGATACTGGTGGAGGTGAGTGTAGCACCCAAATGATAGTATTAGTGACTGTGTACTAGGATGGTACATCAAATATTGTGATTTGTTTCACAACCTTTCCCCCCCACAAAAAATTGCCAAGGCGTATCAGCGCAATCCCTGATGTAGGCCAAGCAGAGATTTTTGCCTCAGGCATGAGAATTTTCCACGGATTCGCAGATTTCCGGGTTTTGGTTTTCTTTTTAGTCATTCTTGAGATTGATGCAAAAAAAACTAATAAAAAGTTTAGGGTGGGAAGGTGTACTTTTTTGTCAAAATGGACGCAATTTTTAATTTCAACTTCATAAAAAGTCAGGAAAATTATGTCAAATTTTACACAGAAGTAACGGAACTCCAGATAAATATCGCGGTGTATCTATGTAATGTAAATTAAGGCATGCTTTAAGTTAACCGCCACATAAAACATTGAACTTTTCATAGAAAATGACAAGACTGAATTGTTAGTCACGAAATTGGTCTTTTACTAAGAACAGAATGTACTTACGATTTTCCCCAGAATTCAAGGAAATGGCCTATCTGCCCTTCCAAATTTCAAAAATTTCCTGGAGGGGGCCACGCCCCCAGACCCTCCCAACAGGACAGTGTGCTATTCATCTCTTCTCTCTCCCTGCAGGTGGAAGACTTCTGTGACGTTACCGGACGCATCTGTCTCATCCGGGAGGAGACTCAGAACAATCCGCGAGCCGAGTCCGGCATCTTCTCCTCATTCTATAACTATCTCACGCTGGCTCAGGAGTCTCCCACACAGAAAGTGCGTACAATCGTCTACTTCATTATATATTATACATATACTACCTCATTAGTTATATCAGGAGTAGATAATAGGGAGGAGTGTGACATCAATAAACAAGGGAAATTCGTCATTTACTAGCCTTATAATACCTACGATTTACT